CCTGGCCCGTGGGGCCGGCAGCAGTGCCCTGGGTGCCCACCCATGGGGTGGGGGATAGGCAGGGATTGCAGGGGGGTGACTGATGGGACTCAGGGGGCGGGGGCGCCCTGTTGGGTTGATACCAGGGAAAGGGGAGATGCGTCCCAGTGCTGACCCACAGCCCCCTTCTAGTCCAGCCCTGAGCTCCCCCCATCACACAGCTCTGCCGGTGCCCCTCAGTCCTGACCCGCAGCCCCCTGCTCAAGCCCGCGAGCCTAGGGAAGCGGTGCCCTCCGCCCCCGCCGGGAGGAATGATCTAGTGAGACAGGCCCTGACTCACGCGTACTCCCCCGAGATGCTCCGGTAGATCCAGGGGGTGCCGGAGCCCCGCGCGGGCCAGTGCCCTGGGTCCATGGCACTGCCGTGGCTGCAACAAGAGACCGTGTTAATCTCCACCACCAGCAGGTCCGTGCGCTTGCAGATCTGCAGGTGCCCAGTGCCCGGTGCCCCCCGCTGCCCATGGCCCCGCCGCACCGGGCAGCCCAGCATGGTCCCAGGGGACTGGCTTGTCCGGCGGCAGGGAGCCGGGCGAGCCCCGAGGGAGCGCTGCGCGGAGAGGGAGGGCTGGGGGCTGCCTGTGCCCACGGGCTGCTTGCGAGCTCCGCGCCAGGGCTGTGTCGGCAACATGCACCGGGAGCAGCTCTTTGTGCGGGCGGGTGAGTGCCAGCCTGCCAGCAGCCGGAACAGAGCGTGCACACGGGGAGACAGGCACGCAGCGCGCGCACACACACACACAACACTCAGAGCGCACTCACACACACACACGCAAGTGCACATATGCACACACACAACACTCAGAGCCGCACTCACACACACACACGCAAATGCACATATGCACACACACAACACTCAGAGCGCACTCATACGCACACATGCACACGCGCACACACACAACACTCAGAGCGCACTCACACAACACTCAGAGCGCACTCACACACACACACGCACAACACTCAGAGCACACACGCGCACACACACAACACACACGCAGACGCACACACACACAACACTCAAAGCGCACTCACACATGCAGACACACACACATGCAGACTCACACAACACTCGGAGCGTGCACACCCTGAAACACACACAGCATGCGCGCACGTGCACACACACAACACTCAGAGCGCGCACACACACAGACGCACACACACACAACACTCAGAGCGCACTCACACACAAACGCACACACGCACATGCACACACAACACTCAAAGCGCACTCACACATGCAGACACACACATGCAGACACACAACACTCAGAGCGCGCGCACACATGCACACATACACACATGCTCGCACACGCACAACACTCGGAGCACGCACGCACGCACGCCCTGAAACACGCGCAGCGTATGCACACATGCACACACACAACACTCGGAGCACGCACGCACGCACGCCCTGAAACACGCGCAGCGTATGCACACATGCACACACACAACACTCGGAGC